TCTGTTGATATGTAAACTCTGACTTTAACATAGCTATTTCCGTGACCAGTTACATGCTAATCCCTCATCTTAACATGCTAATCTCCCAGTACATGCTAATTTCTGACTTTAACACCCTGCTAATCCAACACTTTAACATAGCTATTTCAATGCTAAATTCTTCTGTTGATATGTAAACTTATTTGTCAAGGCGCTCTGCTCCTCCCACCCAGCTTAAAAGACGCTGCGAAGCTTAGCAGTGTTCATTGAAGTGCTGTCGTCCCGACAGTTCTGTTCATTCACCTGAAGAAGGCTACTTGTGTTGTGGCCGAAACGTTGTAAAAAAATTATTTTATTATGTTTTATTTTTATTATTTTATTTCCATTCTACGTGACTTTACCGAAAGAACGAAGATGTTTGAGCTTCATCAGGAAATGAACATGGAAATTGAGTGTGCTTTCTCAACTGACTCTGTACTAAAGTAAGTCCGTGCTAAAGTAACTTAAAACTCTTTTAACTTCCAAATGGTTCATACAACGTGCAGCGGAGACACCACATATCTTATTGTCTAAAAGTACTGTACAGCAAGCAATACATATTTTATGTGGGTGGATTGCACAATGGTTACAGCATTTGGTTTAGAATTGGAGAGCAGAGCTCAAATCGAGTTAGGAGGTTGAATCAACCTTCATCCCCTCAGGATCTAATAAAAGTACCACTCATACTCTTTGGTTCTTTCGGTAAAGTCACGTAGTTAGAAATAAAATAAAACAAATCACGACGTTTCGATCGCAACACAAGCAGCCGTCATCAGGCAAAGGAGTCAGCCTCTAAAGGCAAACTGTTTACAAAGATTTTGATTTAAAGCTTTCGTGACTGCAGTAATTCATATTCTTAGCTCTTTCGGTAAAGTCACGTTGAAGGGAAACAATATTTTATTATTTTATTGTTTCCTTTCAACGTGACTTTACCGAAAGAGCTAAGAATATGTTTACAAAGAGTATGGATTCCTGCAGTCACGAAAGCTTCAAATCAAGAAGTACCACTCAGTTGGAAGTCAACAATGGTTGTCTTTGGCTAAACTTGCCCCAACCATTGGAATGTCGAAACCCCACATCTGGCTCAGGATAAAAAAAAATGACATGAGCATTCGCCCCCCCCCCCCCCCCCCCCTGCATTCATTTGAATGAGAAACCACTTTAACGCAAGTCTGCAGTGTTAATCGAACCAATTACTCCATGTAAATGGCTGAGCAGCAGCGTGTCCGCTGCTTGTTGCAAAGGTTCACGGTTCAGGCCCAGCGCCATCCTGGACAATACTGCTGTTGTGTATTCACCAAAAAATAACCACAGTGAACGCCAAAGATCACGTGACGTGATTTGAAAAAAAACGCCAGGTGTGCTGGCATTCATGGTACAAATTTGCCGACAAATATTATCCACAAAATAATCAGTTTTTTGGTAAACACCACACAGCAACATCGTCCCCGATTGGCAGACAATACCAACAGGTGAAACATGGCACTTTCACGATAGCTTTGCACTACAAGAATGGCACAAATACAAATATACTAATTATCTCTTATGAAGTGTTATTAAATGGCTCAGTGGTGAGCGTTCGGTTAACATCCAGTTAATTCCCAGCAGGCCGCGTGTGCAGGAGATGTGTAAGGCACAATCCCATTCCAGCGTTAGCATTTACATACGCACGGGTATGAGGAAAGGCTATTAATAACACGAGACAGCGCTCGTGCTGGTAATGTCAAGGTGTTGTGGAAATTTAACAACGCGACCATTAATAGTAACCCTGGGTAGGCTTTTAACGTTGCGAGGAAATATGAATTGGGTTCAGTGAGAGTGTTTCCTTTTAGGGGGATAATTGGTGCAATAAATAATGTGCCTACACACGTTCGCACCGAGAACGTGACATTTAATCAATGAAGATGTAGAAATATATACTTTTAAAATATGGACCTGTTACAATCACCTGTGTGCTTTGCTCAGCGTGAGTGGATGGGATCAAGTCAGAGTCTTCAAGCTCAAATGAGCTCTGGACAACACTCATCCCTGTTCACAGCCTTGAGTGGTTAATTTGCACATTCCCATGACAACATGGTCCAGGACGACCACTGTTGACTTCCGACGAAGTTGATTTCCTACAAAGTTCCAATTTTATCAACATCAAAAGAATGATGTGATAATGGCACAATTACAATACAACTGCTGGGGATCTGCAGATATGATGGCAAATACAAAATGCTTTTCACAAATCACTCACACCTATCTTCTAGTTGATTAAGAATGCGACATCCAGATCCCTTTCATTCCTGTGAAATCACATCACTCAAACCCTTAGGCCCCTCCATTGATTTCCATCGCAAACACAAATAAAACAAAATGCTTCATGGACTCATCCCCCCCCTACCCGTCACATCACATCTCACTCTATCCTAGGTTTAATCCCAAGGTTTTAGCGTTCCTCTTAGGGGGTTTATAAAGGATCTGGCAGAGACACAACCACCATTGCTGACTTCTTGGGTTAAATACCTGGCGCTGGTTTGTCAGTCAGCAGTGAACTGACAAAACAGCTGTGAATTATTTTTGTTTGTTTTTAGTATGGGGCCGTCCATAAATGACGTCACGCGATTTTAGACGATTTTTGACCCCCCCCCCCCGGTCATCACACGGCGTCACAAAAAGACCCCCCCTCAAATATGACGTCACAAAGCTCTGCCCCCCCTCCCAAAACCATATAAAAATTTTGAAAACATGCTTCAAATCGCTTTAAACTATTGTCATCGTAGTGCGTATTTAATGTGGCGCTGCACTCTGATGTTGTAGGAGAAAACATTTATTTAAAAAAAGTCTCTTTAGTTAAGTAGAACGTGTTGTCTATATTTATTTAAAGTTGCGCAATTTGATGTGACGTCACATTTCTCAAACCCCCCCCCCCCTTGTCACAAATGTCTGACCCCCCCTTCCCTCTAGGTGCGTGACGTCATTTATGGACGGCCCCAAGGCTTTGAATGATTATTTAATCTTCTTTGGTTCTTTCGGTAAAGTCACCACGTAGAATGAGAATAAAATAATAAAATAACTCGATAAAATTCTCACGACGTTTCGGCCACAACGCAAGCTCTGTCGTCCCGACAACAGTTCTGTACCTTTCACCTGAAGACGGCCGCTTGCGTTGTGGCCGAAACGTCGTGAGAATTTTATCGTGTTATTTTATTCTCATTCTACGTGGTGACTTTACCGAAAGAACCAAAGAAGATGAACACAATAATTATTTAATGGTAAAAGTATCGCGCCGTCAGCGTAGGTATGAGGTAATTGACAGGACCGCCAAAGCCCCGCGATAGCGCCTTGCAAAACACGTTATTGAAAATGAAACAATGACACGTTTAATACGAACGAATTTGCGTGTTTAATCGTAGTTAAACAAATAAAACAAATCTTAAGTTGAAAAAAAGAGCATTAGCAACGCGTTTACGCGCCCCAAAGTCGGCCGGCGAGGCGTTAACCCCCCACCTACTACACGTTCCTTTTAAAAGTGGCGTCAGCAAAAAAATATAGCAGCGTCAATAACAGTAAATGTTACTTAACCAAGGCGACAATGATGTTTAAAAAGTTATAACGAAGCGCGTTTGTCGAATAATAAACATTCAGCAGCCGCCACCATGTTACCTTGGCTTCCCGGTTGCCATGGCGACGCGCGACCGGAAGTGGAAATGACGAGGCACGCGGAGGTGGGGGTGAGAGGGGAGGGGGTGTGGGGGGATGTGGAGGGAGGGGGTGTGGGGGTGTGAGAGGAGGGGTGTGGGGGTGTGAGAGGGGAGGGGGTGTGGGGGGTGTGAGGGGGAGGGGTGTGGGGGGTGAGAGGAGAGGGGGTGTGGGGGGATGAGAAGGGAGGGGGTGTGGGGGGATGAGAAGGGAGGGGGTGTGGGGGGATGAGAAGGGAGGGGGTGTGAGGGGATGAGAAGGGAGGGGGTGAGAAGGGAGGGGGTGTGGGGGGATGAGAAGGGAGGGGTGTGGGGGGATGAGAAGGGAGGGGGTGTGGGGGTGTGAGAAAGGAGGGGGTGTGGGGGGATGAGAAGGGAGGGGGTGAGAAGGGAGGGGGTGTGGGGGGATGAGAAGGGAGGGGTGTGGGGGGATGAGAAGGGAGGGGGTGTGGGGGTGTGAGAAGGGAGGGGGTGTGGGGGGATGAGAAGGGAGGGGTGGGGGGGGATGAGAAGGGAGGGGTGTGGGGGGATGAGAAGGGAGGGGGTGTGGGGGGATGAGAAGGGAGGGGTGTGGGGGGATGAGAAGGGAGGGGTGTGGGGGGATGAGAAGGGAAGGGGTGTGGGGGGATGAGAAGGGAGGGGTGTGGGGGGATGAGAAGGGAGGGGTGTGGGGGGATGAGAAGGGAGGGGTGTGGGGGGATGAGAAGGGAGGGGTGTGGGGGGATGAGAAGGGAGGGGTGTGGGGGGATGAGAAGGGAGGACCGGATGAGATTTCACTAGACCGCCATCGATGTTCGCAATCTCCGGAAGTCGAACTTGGGTCGCCGGTAACCTGCTACCATGACATTATGGCATCCGATTCGGTTGTCACCGCTATTGCTGATGCTACCGCTGAGTTGCTGCTACCACTCTTACCGCTGTCATCATTGCTGAGTCAGCCGCTGCTGCCCACAGCTGCTGCTGCTTCTTCAACTACTCATTTGGATTCCTATTTGATGTTTGGGTGAGTAAATTGTGTTGTCGTACACCACCCAGCACAGCCACAAGTCCAGACGACTGCCTGATGATGTTGGTTGTATTCTGCCAGCAAAAACGCCGTACACAATTGTTAATTGTGTGTGGATCGCTCCGGTGTGCTGCTGAATCATTACCAATTGGCCCGCTTCGTACACGTGACAACTGTATTCATTGGCAGTGTCGGGTGGAGGACGGTGCACGACACATTCTCACGCGAACTGATCCAATTACGAATCACAACCACTCACTGCTCTCCTCATTGTTGTCTTGTTCTACTGCTAGTTTCTGTGCCTGTTTCTGCTCACGTATTCTGCTAACTCTGCTCTCTCCTCTAACTTATAATTTGTATGCTGTTCTCATTTTACAGTTCCTCCTACTAATGGTACTACTCCAGCTACTATTGCTTCTCTCACTCTTTCTGCTATCACTCCCTCGGCCATCACTGGTGGCTACTTATTCGCTCCCTTCCTCTGCCTATGACTTCTTCCGCCACTCCTACTTGGTCCACTGCTGCAACTGAACTCGTCTTCAGCTACCGTCCGACTCGCCTTCCTTCTGCCACCGCCGCAACTGCTGCTGCTTCTGCTGCTTCTAGTGCCACCGGTGATTCTGCCGCTGCAACTGTTGCTTCTGCTGCTTCTAGTGCCACCTGTGATTCTGCTGCTGCAACTGTTGTTGCTTCTGCTGCTTCTAGTGCCACCAGTGATTCTGCTGCTGCAGCTGTTGCTTCTGCTGCTTCTAGTGCCACCGGTGATTCTGCCGCTGCAACTGTTGTTGCTGCTTCTGCTTCTAGTGCCACCGGTGATTCTGCCGCTGCAACTGCTGCTACTGCTGCTTCTAGTGCCACCAGTGATTCTGCCGCTGCAACTGCTGCTGCTTCTACTGCCACCGGTGATTCTGCCACTGTTACCAACCGGAGCAATCGGACGAAAATGGCATCGCACCTTGACTCAATCTGGACCCCTACACACGGCAATCATCCCCCCCCCCCGACCGGCGGACTAATGCCCCTTGTTTGGAGGCCGGTCTCTGGGTGAGTTCACTTTGTAAAAGGGCAAGCTGCCACTGGGGGTTGCTCCCCCTTTCAAATGTGTTCAGACAGGGCGCTCCGAGACACCCCGGGCGGCGTGTGTTTAGAGCAATTTGGCCGCCGTAAATTTCCACGTGGCAAGCGACTTCGTTGAGCTATCATTTGTGGCCAGGTCGCTTCAGAAAAAAAAAGAGCTGTAGAGCTCTTACCTGGCAAAATAAAAAAAAATAAGTTTTTAGTTTAGTACGGGGAGGGGCGGCTCTATCAGAAACACAATCACGGCCGTGAATGTCTCTCAAACTCCTGCCACAGTTGCTTTTACTACTTCCAACGCTACGCCTCGCTCTTCTCGTGTTCTCCCCTTCTTCTGCTGCTGCTGCTGCTCACCCGTTCCAGCTCCCCCTCCCCCGCCACCGCCTCCATCACCGCCGCCCTCGCGGTGCGTGCGCGCGTGCTTGCCCAGGTGGTCGCTGCGCGCGAAGCGCTTCCCGCACGCGACGCACGCGAAGCGGCGCTCGCCCGTGTGGGTGCGCGCGTGCCGCCGCAGCTCGTCGGAGCGCGTGAAACGCCGCGCGCACAGCGGCCACGCGCACGCGTACGGCCGCTCGCCCGCGTGCCAGCGCAGGTGGGCGCGCAGGTGCGACGTCTTGCCGTACGCCTTGCCGCAGCCCGACACGTGGCACGTGTGCTGCCTCCTGCTGCTGCTGCTGCTGCTGATGGTAGCGGTGTTGCTGGCGGTGTCGTAACCTCCGTAATGCTGCAACTGCTGCTGCTGCTGGTCCGGACGCAGCTGGCAGTTGGGGCACCGGCAGCGATGACAACGGCGTGTTGAGGGTTGCGCTAGCGGCAGGAGAGGAGGAGGATGGCTGCTGATGCTGCTGCTGATGCTGCTGGCGTCAGCAGCAGCAGCAGCAGCTGCGCTATTGTTGCTCCCATCGTGAAGGAGCTGCAGGTGAAATTGGCCGAGTGGCACCAGCAAGTTTGGTTGCTCCAGTGAAAATGCCCGCTGCGATGGAATAATTTGCTGTTGCTGCTGCAGATGATAATGATGCAGCTGATTCTGACTTGGCTGTTGAGTTTGATGATCGTAATTAAGATTTTGCTGCTGCTGATGGTGGTGGTTGTAATAAGCACCATTTGTACCCCAACAAAACCCAGTCTCGTCAAAGATGCCCAAGTGCTGGTGCGGAGGCGGCGGCTGCGCGTACAACAGGCGGTCAATTCGTGGCACCACGGCTGCAGCGCCAGCCCCGACGCCCTGCCAGTGCCATTGCCGCTGGTAGCCAAGGGCGCAAGCGGCGTACCCCAGGGCCTGCGTGGCCGCAGGACCGCTCGCGGCCGGCTCGGCCGGAGGCGTCATTGTCAGGTGCCGGCCTGGCAGGCAGATGTCCGTCTTGGAGGCTGAGAAGGCCCCAACATCACCGCCACTGCCACCACCGCCAGCGTCGTCGTCGTCGTCTTTGTGTTGGCCAATATATTCATTGTTGCCTCGCTGATGCCGCTGATGTCGCTGCTGTTGTTTGTTGTGGTCGTGCGGAGTAATGCGATGGCACGTGGCCAGCAGCAGAGAGAGCGGAGAATCGAGAGCGGTTTCCGGTGAGCAGCTCGGAGTGAGATCCTGGTTGTGCAGGGAGAGAAGAGAAAATACGATGCAGGACATTTAAACTATAAACCGACTCTGTAGCCAAGGGTGATCAATTGTGCCACTCGCCGCTGCATGCCACCGAATCTCTTGGGTGCGGACGTCCCTGCAACCAGTTGCGAGACAGTTGTTGCTGGAAGTAGCGACAAGACACCACTTTCTACTTTCAAGCATCGATCTGGATCAGCGATCGGCTCAGCATTCACGAAATACGTTCTGTCATTGCGAGCCAGAGTGTTGAGCGCGAGACTCGGAGCGCCCGAGCGGGAACTCCGAGCTTGAGCCTGCCCCCGTGAGTGAAACCAATTCAGCCTCCGTGTCCTCATATTTAGTGCCCGATTCTCTGAAAATATAGATTTTTGTTTGTTTGTTATAAGCACAGACTCGAATATATTTGTGCACGATTTTAACTCTGTAGCGCTTCAACAAGAACATCAACATTTGCATCAGTCGCTCGGCCGTGATCATCTTCACGCATCAGATACACACAGCCGCCTCAATTATTGTTTCATTTTAGTCCGTTACAGCAGTGCAGTTGCTGTTTTCCCAGCAGTTTTGAATTGGCTTCCCCCCCCCCTCCCCAGTTATCCGTGCTGTCGACTGTCCAAGTCCATGCTCAAATAACTTTCCTCTTTTCTCTGCCAATGACTGAGAAAACAATTAAGTAACATGCCCACGTAGAGACGCAGGTGCCTTTTGGCACTATCAAAATTATATTGCGTTGTACGATAATGAACACCAACCCTCAGCCAGTGCCGGATTAAGCTAGTGCGGGGCCTGTAGCTTATTTTATAAAGGGGTCCTACATAAAAAAAAAACACGTAAATATTAAAACACACATTTTTTACTTGTATAGTAAAGTCATTGTATTTTTTCATTTGCTATACAGCCAGATAATAATACAAATCGCTAACCTTAAACACCCAGTTATTCATAAAAGTTGAAGGCAGTAGAGTACTATAGTAGTAGAGCAAGTGCAGAATCACTGAACCAGGAATTGATAGCTTGAAAGCATGTAGCGCGAGGCCCTTGAAAGTGCGGGGCCCGTAGCATTTGTAGCTAGTTTTGTTACTACAATAATCCGGCACTGCCCTCAGCCGCTTTCAGTGAGCACCTGTGCAGCGACGAGCACACGACATCAGCAACGACCGCCGTTCGCCCCGAAGTGACGGTTACGGCACCACAGCGCTTGTGCCAGGCTAGGTGCACCTTGATTAGCGTAAACACGCACGTAGAAGAAGAGACCCACCTGTAGGAAGGTGCTGAAACTGCCGTCCATGGTGATGGGGCTCCTCATGGCCATCTGTGATGTGATGATGGTGATGATGAGGATATGATGATGATGATGATTATGTGGGGATGCGGGTTAAGTGGCAGAGAGTCTGATGATAGAATGTCAGACAAGTGATATAAGATTTAGTGATGGAGGTCTGGCAAAAATAACTTCTGGTCATGGAGATGTTTTTGGTGATTGATGATTTGAAGATAGAGGATTTGGCGATGGAATTTCTGGTGATGGATGTTTTAATGGAGGTGCTGATGATAAGGGGGTCTCTGGGTGATGGAATTTCTGGTGATGGAGGATTTTGTGATGAACGCTCTGATGATGCACACTGCCAGCCGATGGAGATGGTGATATGAAATGAGGCTCCAATGGTGACCCCTTGACCCGGACGCCTCAGCTGTCTTCCTCGGCTTCAGATCCGTCCTCCTTGCCGCCTGCAGATGTGAACACAGCTCAGAGTTGAGGCTTGGGACTCCCAGAATGCCACGATACATCTCAACGTCCTATCTCTCCTCCACATACCACCACCACAACCACCACCACAACCACCCGTCACCCACCGCAACTACTTAGAGCAGGCTAAATCCGTTTTTACACGTAAAAAAATAACTTATTTGTGTTAGTCCCAGTTGTTAAACAATACCGAGGGTTTGCCAATAACACTTTGCAACACAGCAGCATTTTTGTTAAACATGTCTGGCTCATAAAAAGTGTAAACTGATGGCCAGTTTGCCCTGCTGAAGCATGCAACGAGATGCTGTCAAACGTTTGTCTGCATAGGCTGATGGGACAAACATGTACTGTACGGGTTTTTATTTTTACGTGGAGAAACAAACTGTGGTCGGTGTGCATATACAATACACGTAGCTCAGAACAGAGGAGCTCTAACAGAATTCCCATCTAACTCATCCGGGTCAAAGCACTGAAAGACATCTTCAGAACTTCCTCCTACACCAAACAACAAAAACCTACGGTTCCTCCTCCGCTACTTCATTCTCCTTAATAAAAGTTGATGCTGTCTTCCAGGCAGATTAGTATTGTAACGTAGTTATTCATGTATATTATGTTTGTCAAATTGTTTTATACTTGCAATGCATCTACCCGCATCACTACATTTGCAGTTGTCTGCCGTTAAGCAATGATAAAGAATAAATTATTAATACAAATATCATATCTCTTGCACGCGTGCTTATATTCCACTCGTTCCTCCTCTTTCCGCAATCATTCTTCTCCGCGTCTGTCACCTCCTCATCTTCACTTCCTCCTGCCCTTGCAGCCGAATCAGCCCAGGACAGGGCGCCACATATAAAGCCGAAATAGAATAGAATGGGAATCACCCTTGAAACTTCAAAACTCCTAACAGTCACCCTCCAAGTTCCACAAGTTACTGTTACAACTATTTTATTTTACCAGGTAAGGCCCACTGAGCTACATAGCTCTTTTTCAGAAGCGACCTGGCCACAAATGATAGCTCAACGAATTGGCTCATCATCTGGAAATGTATAGCAGCCGAATACTCTAAACGCGTGTTAATTATAAATGTGGAGGGGAAAAAACGGGAGACCGGGAAAAAAATCCACGCGATCACAGCGAGAGAGACACGCAAACTCCAAATATACAACAAGCGTCAGGGTCGGGATCGAACCCACGACCTCCTGTATACCAGGCGAGGTAGTTAACATCTCCTAGCCACCGCGTCGCAAAGAGGGACGACACAGATCCAATAACACTTCCATTAGCACCACAACCTCCTCCTTCCCTCCTCCACATCGTCCTCTTCGTGATTCTGCGACATCTTTCAACCTCCTCAACCCCCTTTCTCATCCTCCACCCCCTCCGCCTTCAAATGCCAAACGGAAAAACTTTTTTCTCTCTCTCAAAATCTTCACCCAAATTCTCCAAATCAAAGCGTCGAGACAAAGCCACCATGATCACCTCCCTGTAATCCTCCCCGTCGTCGCCTTACTTCAACTTCCTCCACCTCATCGCCCTCTGGCACCACGCTCTCTTCCTCACGCTCCTCCTCCTGACAGCGCCACTCTTCAACAAATCTCGGAAAACTCTTGCAGCTCTGAGCAGAGACCCAGACACCACCTCCAACCCGCCCTCCTCCTCCACCCCATGCCCCTCCTCCTGTACGCGCTCCCTTCCCCTCTCCCCCTATCTCCCCTAAAATCTCAAACTCCTCAACAAGAGTCACTCTGCCAGGAGTTTACTCTCTCCACTCCGCAAGCGGCACTGCAGCGAGAGCGCCTACAACCAACAACACCAACTCCATCGCCACCGACAACCGGCATCACAATCTATACCATTGCCGCCCCCCTACAGCCACTACCACTTCCATCACCGCAGTCACCATCACTCACCACCAACCACCACCACCACTCGCACCACAGCCACTAACCTCCACTAGCAAGCATCGCCAGCAACTACAACCGATGGCCACCACCACCACCACTGTCAACGCCTCTTCCTAATCCTTGTGCCGCGACATCAGTGGGACTTGTTCCAACGTCAATCATCATCATGCTCTTCGTAGCCATCAGCTGGGAGATGAAAGGGGGCCTCAACATCGCCCCCCCCCCCCCCACGTGTACGCTAGTGGCTGCTGTGGTCGAGACAACACCGAACACCGCCCCCACCACGTCCCAAGCTCCCTTCCCACAAGCATTGCTTCTGTCGTGTGTACACGTGCGTGTGTGCGTGCGTGTGTGCGCGTGCGTGCGCGTGCGCGCGTGCGTGTGTGTGGTTGCTCAAACGCGCACAATGACAAAGATCCCCCGTTTAGCCTTCATCCGGCAGGCTGTTGTTGTGGGTTGGGGGGGGGGCAATTGCTGTGAGCGAGCGCCTATGAATGCCGCAACGGTGCACGACGATGCTTGGGTGGTCAACACCCCCCCCCCCCGGGGCCGCCTTTGTCTCCCCAGTCTGCTGGTGCGCACCAGAGGTACTCGTTTGAAGGCGGACGTCGGCCTCGTTGGCAAGGTGCGATTTATAATCCGCAGAATGCACTCGTTCAATAATCAACTCGCACAGTGAACCAATGCAAAGATTCCCCCGTGCAGCATGAACAGGCTGTCGGGGCAAGTGCAGTGAACACACGCAGACACGCACGTGTACAATACGTGCTACAATGGGTTGGTGATGCTGCTGTTGCTGCTGCTGCTAATGCAGTGGTAGTGGTCCACAAGCACAGTTAACACCAATAAAAAATCGACGTGTCGGGCAATGGCCCTGTTACATGGCACATAGAGAGGTCAAATTGGTAGATAACTACGGTACTCATCAAGCCACATGGTGCAAAGTGTCGTTTCGTGTCTTCGTCTCCTCGGCCTCGCGAAGGGCAGGGTTATTGACGAATATGTGTTTTCAATGGGATGCCTGGCCGATTACAATATAGTATGATTCGCTTCACGAACCGTCCGTGAGAAAGATGCACAGTCTATGAGTGTGCACGTAAATGATGATGATGGTGGTGCGCTCCTCGAGTCGTTATGGAAACTATGTTACAAAATAAGCCTAGGCTCTGTCACGCATCTGTCTCTCCACAGCATACAAAATAGATGATTCAGGTATGTGTAGGAGGCGTATGGTCCGATTGTTCATTGCTACTTATATATATGTTTCCACGACGGCGCTAATTGTTATTACACTGCATGAGTCATGTTTCGTGATCGGTGGTGCACTGGTTAGCGCGCTGCACCGCGAACCCGACCACCCGAGTTCGATTCCCGCTCACGACCAACATCAGTGACTAATATCGGAACCCATCACGTGTGTGTCGACCGACCCTTCAATGGAGTTCCTAGTTCAGTGCCTGCAGATCAAAACTGGGGATACAAAGGTGGCCGGGCGTGGTGCTGGCCACCCGCCCCTCGTGCGCCGTGCCGGTCTTCAAAGGTGCTCGCGAACGGCACTTGCCCCAAGTCTGTTAAGGCTATACGGGGGATCTTGGTCTTTGTAAGCTGCATATGCGTGTACACGTATATAAGTTTGTGCTGTGTATTTGAGCACGTATATCTGTGTGTACGTATGTATATGGTAGTATAAGTGTGTGTGTGTTTGTATGTGTGTGTTTGTTATTTATTTGTTGAAGGGAGGGGAATCACTTCCTTAGAAACTCGAAGAGGCTTTGAAGTGGCCGCAGTTCCAGGGATGCACGAGGGGGAGGGGTGGAGTTGGGGGTAGGGAGAGAGACAGATCCCCTTTGAGCTCCCCCCGCCTCTCTCTCTCTGTCTCTCTATGTCTCCGTCTCTCTCTTTCTGTGTCTCTCCTCTTTGTATCGCCGTCTTCCCGTGGCTGGCTTTCTGTGTCCCTGTCTCTCTGTCTCCTTTCCCAACCTCCCTGACCCTGTCTGTTTCTTAATCACCATGTCTATGTAAACCTGTGCGTGTGGGCTCCCTTGTCCCTTTGATATTGTCTGTGCGTGTGTCTCTGTGGGCTTGTGCCGGGGTTTGTCTCTCTGTGTCTGGGCTTCTTTGTCTCTGTTTCAGTATTTGTCTGTTTCTTACTGTGTCTTTCTGCATATGTCTACCTGGACCTCTCTGCCTCTATCCTGGTCTCTAAATGTCTACACATCTGGTTTTCCTTTATTTCATCTGTGTGTGTGTGTGTGTCTGAGTGTGTATCTGTGTGTGTGTCTCTGTGTGAGGAATGGTAGTGCAGTGGTTAGCGCTACGCTGCGCTACGAACCCGGCTACCCGAGTTCGATTCTCGCTCACGGCCAACACTCAGTGACGAGTATCTGAACCGGCTCCCCTACGTAGACTCAGCCTCAAATGAGCACGTGGTGCGGTGTGTAAATATTGGCAGTGGGAAGACAAAGGCGGTTGGGCCTGGGGCTGACCACACACCCCCCCCCCCCCGCTCGTGTGCCGTGCCGGCCTTCATAGGTGCTCGCGAACAACCCCAACAGTCTGTTCTGGTTTTCCGGATGATGTTTTGTCTCTCTGGCTCTCTCCGAGTGTCTTTCGTCCAGGAATGTGAACAAACCACGCGTGAACCCCACACTGGGGTCGCGGCAGATGGAACACACGGGGGTGTCTAAACACCGGGGACAATTACTCCTAAGCAAACAAACAAAGAGACATTCACAATAAGCAAGCATTTACACAAAAAGACAAATACGTCACAATGGATTCAATAAGGTGTTAAATATGATTTTGTTGATATTCTCCAACGAAAGAATAAGGGGATATAGTGGCATTAGTAAATGTTTTGTGATATTGATATTGTACTGACGAATGTAAAAAAAACAAAATAACCATTAAGCGGCGTTGGAATATAATATTAATAATGAAATAAACATTGCCTCTTTCCCATATTTATCTCCACGATTTTTTGTGTTTGTTTTACACAACTCATCAGAAGTACATCTTATCAGCAGTGTCTTTCAATACATTCAGAGTGGACTGGTTTCTATATTTAGTGTCTCACCAACAGAATCAGGCTTGAACCAATACCGGTAAACTGCCAGCTGTTTATGTAAACAAATATAATACTTGTATATATTTTTTTCACGTGCGAGACAATAACAGGAATAATATATAACGTAGAGGATGATGCCCGTGGTGTCACAGTTATCACAATGAATATTTTATTTTAATTTAGAAAATTGTCAATAACTTTAACACGGAGGATATCGCGACCAATATTATCCATAAGATGGGTTTTTTGGGTTAGATCGCGTTAATATAAATGTGTCGTGAAGCCCGCCACCAACCGATATAGTCAATTAGTAAGGTTTGTTACGTAAACAAGAAATTCAAATTTGTTACTGTTGGAGAGTAATACCCACAACATTTACAATGCGCACCTGATTGGCTCACAAGTGACGACATCACATGCATCCTTCTATTTAAGAAAGAAACAGGAGGATTTGTCCACAAATCTGGCTGTCGCCTGATGAGGCTGGTTGTAATTACTGGCGAAACGTCGTACTCGAATTGTAAATGTTGTGGGTTTACTCTCCAACACACCAGTGCGCTGAACTAGTAACGAATTGTCACGTTTTGTTTACGTGATGAACATTACTAATTGGATGTGTCGGGTGGTGGCGGGTTTAACGACACATTTATAATTAAGCGATCTAACCCAAAAAAAACCTCTCCCTCTATTATGTCAACAACTTCCTTGGGGTTTTCAACGTTCCTCGGTCCTCCTCTGGCTTTGCAGGGGAAAAAATCACTTGTCACATTTTCCCACGTGACAACTTGGTCTGATTGGCTCTGGCGGGTGGTGGAGGGTTTTTATAGGTAAGAAAAATGTCGATCGTACCCAAAAGAAACGAATTATGAATCATTGCGATCCAGACGTGGCCGGTTCGATCTCCTGGTGCGGCAGTTGAAATGACGGGGCGAGTTTTTTTTAACTCATCCCAGCCTTATGATTAATATTTTCTTCAAATAGTTTTCGTTCACTCACAATCGTCAACTCAAATAAAATAAAACACTTTGGGTGACAATATATTTTTTTTATCACCAACTGCCTTTTACGAAGTCAACACTAGAGTCACAGCGTACCAATCTCTCAGGCAATATTTTTTTCGAAAAGTCTCGCGGCTTGCTGAATATTTTCTTGTAAACAAATATGATTAATATTAAAACATAGATTGTGCTTACATGAATCCTCAAAATTAAAATAGGGGCCCACAGAGGCCTTGTTGTCATTTTGGCTGTGAATAATTGATGGTAAATATCAAAGCCATTCCGTGCGCGCATGTGTATGTCCGTGTATTTTCCCTCGTGAGCAAGGAAGAGACTTTGATCAAAATTAACAACTCAGAAAATAACACGACTGGAAGATAACATTAAAATTGGTGAACCGTGTGTGTGTGTCGGGGGTGGGGGGTGCCATACCACTCCCACACGTGGCCTCCAGATGCACCTAGCCTGGCACAGACACCGTGCCACCGGGCATAGAACGGCGGCTTGTTGAAATTATTGGGGGATCTTGTCAAATATATTTCAGGTGCTTGGTTGTTAGACATTGTCATTGTGAGCCCAGTCAATAAACAGATGAGTACTGAATAGAAATCAGCAAGATACAAAATTGTTCTTAACCGCGTGTGACTAAATCACTCGTAACGTGCCCGATCTTGC